TCGCTCTTAACAAGGAGCTCGGACTAAGTACAGCGGTCTGGAGTTCGGGCTCGGTAGTGAGTTTGGACTTGCTTCCGATGTTCGCTTTGGGTGCTCTACTGTCCCGAGCTGCTTGCCTTTGCCACATGTCGGGCGATCGCGAGGCCGGGCCAAATTTCTCTTCATCAATAACTACTTCAACCTCTAAAATAGAACATAATATAAACACCATTCTATGTATATGACGCACTGAAGTTCAAAACTTGATTTAATGATCCAAGATGTTGGGTCTGGTTCTAGAAATAATGCCAGAGCAGCTGATTGTAAGGTTGCCATGAAACACATCAAAGCAGACAAAGAGGGGTTTTCAGGACATAACTTGGACACAGGGACCTATTTGCCAGTATACAAGATGGATAAGAACATTGACAATCTTAAGAGTTGAACATCAAGCAACTTCAAATGGGTGGATACCTGCAAAATCATCCATAATGACTGGCAACAATCGCTTGCAAGGAGGAGGAGACAACCCAATAAAAACATAGAATTTTGTGTATGAAAATTCAAGTTTGGAATTTTGGGGCCCCTTAGAACTAAGATGAAAATGGCTCCACGAACATAACAAGTGGTTCCAAGAACTTTGGCCATGCTTTTCTTGCTTCCAATGTCTATTTTCTCCCATCTGATGAAAACAAAAGAAATATATGGTGTTAGTTTCCTGGGATTTGATTCATATATTGTAGATTTAATAGGTTCAAGTCCTGTAATTTGGTGCTTTGGCTTTCATTTCTCTATGAAATTTTGAGCTGATTGACTCTTGATGAAGCTGATGACCCAGTAGTCAAGATGGTTACTCAGCGTCCTTCTGAAAACGGATGCATGGAATCAAACCCATGGAACCACAGGCTCTTGGTGGTATGGTCGGTGGACCTCAGAGGCTCTCGCGATCAGAACAGAGCCTTAATTTTTAAAAACTGGACTGGATGATCAAGCCAGTTTGTAGCCAATTTGGGTCGATTATATAGAGCTAGTTAAGTGAGTTTGAATGGTTTGTATTTGCATGTATAGAATCAATTATAAGTGGACAGGTTCAGATTCATCCAAGTATAGTAAAATGGTTTTCTAATTGTTTTATAGAGTTTTTTTTTTTTGTTAAATTGTTTCATAGAGTTTTTTTTTTTTGTTAAATTGTTTCATAGAGTTTTTTAAAGACAAACTATCATATTTCAGGAACATTAAGAGATGATTTCGCCAATTCCAGCAACCATCCACCAGATAGAGGATCCTCCATTAGAATGTTCAAACCAATTTTGGTAAACCAAGCATACCGTGGTACCGTAGAACAGGGTGATTTTACATTATAGGAGATATTATCTTTACTAAGGTTGGTTCTTATGGCTTGAACTAGCTTTATTTCCCTAGCTTGTGGTTGTGTATGTATGACCTAGAATTTTTTTGAATGAGCAAACCCACTTACTAATCTTTAACTATGTGAATTGCATAGGTTGTGTTTCATTGATGAATCGAGAAATTTAGATTAGTAATCAAAATAATCTCTAGATCAAAAAGCAAAGGATAAAACAATTAAGTTGCAGACTAGTTCATAACTCAAATGATAGTGTATGAAGCACAAAGGCTTACCCAATGGAGACTGTAATTATAAATGTAATCGTAGGGGTTAGGTTGCTCATTGCAGCTACAATGGAAGAAGATGAAACATGAATGCCCTCAAAATATAAATTCACAGTGATGGTTATCCTGCAAAGAACCCAGCAATTTTAAGCACTTATTAATTAACATGAACTGTAAATGCTTGACCTGCTGACCATGAAATGAAGAAGAAAGGATAAATTAATTGCCACAGAAGAATTAAAGCACAAAAATGAGCTTTGTTACATATAAAACCAGAGTGTTGTCTGTTACCTGAGAAATGACAGTAGACAAATCATGCACAAGTTCTTTACTCCTAATGCCTGCCTACGTGAACTTCTCCTGTGAACATGAGCCTTGGTTGAATTCCTACTACAAATATGAGAGAGAGAGAGATGTGATGCTGCTGTAGTGCTGTACCTCCTAGCAAAACAAGCAACAGGTCCCATGACTAGAGTAGCAACAGTCAATTTGTAAACCACAAACACCTTGGTATAGGTGGCAATTGGGCGGGTTGGGTTGAGTTTCAATCCAACCCATTTAACCCGCCAACCCGTTAATGACCCACTTATATAAAATTAAATGGGTTGGGTTCAACCCAAACCCACTTTAAAGCAATCCAACCCGCCCAAACCCATTAATCTTATATTTATATACTTAAAACAAAAAACTAACTCATTTTTAACAAATAAGTTAGTTGTAGCTTAGTGGTAATAGTAGTTGCTATTTACACAAGTGGTGAAGGTTCAAATTACATTACATGCATGTAATTTTTATGCAAGCAGCAAAGCCATTTAACTATGTTTGGGTTTCGGATTTGACGAACCACATAGGTTCAAATCAGTCAGACCAACTTGAACTATTAATTGGATTGTCTTCGAGGTAATCACATCAAGTTCAAGAGTGGTTGAACCATTTAGATCCGGATCATCCTGGTCAGACTAGACCCGCCCAAACCAGTTCAGTCCGGTTGGACAAAACCCGATCGGATCGGTACCGGTTTCAGTTCGGTCGGGCCAGACCCCGACCAGCCCGATCAATCCGGTCGGACCAGACCGGCCCGATTCAGCCAATGGTGGATTGACTTGGGTCGGCTCATATCAGGTTTGTGCACGGGTTTGGGGCCAAACCGATTAGCCCAAAGCGGGTCAAAAGAAGCAAATCAGACCGGGTCGGGTTGTACGGATATGAACCAAGCAAGCAATACCAAGCCATCCCGTCCGAGGTCTATTTCAGATTCGGGTCGTCCCATATTAGTATATGTTGGATTGGGTTAGACCGCGTTGAATTGATCCGGACTTGGGTCAAATTGATTTGGATTTATGTTGGGTGAAGTGTGTTGATTCAAGACAAAACTAAATTTAGTCAATAATTAATAGAAAATTAATGCATTAATTATAAATTATTTAATTCAAATGAAGAAAATAAAAAAAAGGCTAAAGAATTAATACTAATGTTTGTAATGGTTAACCCAACAGCTATCCACAACCCAACTCATTTAAATGGGCGGGTTGGGTGACGAGTTGATCACACAACCTGCCAAGTAAATGGGTGGGTTCAGTGGGTTGGGTGAAAAATTGCCACCCCTACACCTTGGGACTCATTCCTTGATTTCATTCCCAAGGGAGGGGCAGGAAATGAGGCACCCTGTGTGAGGCACCCTGCTAGAATGGCATTCCCCCATTTGAGGGAATGGTCATTCCCTGCCCCTCCCTTGGGAATGAAATCTCATTCTTGCTAATTTTAATTCACACTCCCATTCCTATCTGAACCAAATAGACTATGGGAATGGACCTTTCCGATTTCGATTCCGATTCCAACTATCAATCAAATGAACCCTTAATTATGTACCGATATCAATGCATTTTTATTAAACATAGTACAAAAGAGGTTGCCGTTTTGAATTATGATTTTTGTTGATATAACTGTTGTTCTCATTAAAAAAACAAGACAAGTCATGTTTTCAAACACCCCCCAATGTTGCATTGCTAGTCTCACTGCGGATCTGCTACCCATAAATTGTTACTACAGCTGCGTTTGGAATCACTCTAAAACGTCATTGGTGTAAATTTTATATTGAACCATGAAAGTGACCGTTGTTTTTTGAAAAACACGATGGGTGAGAAGTGTAAAGTTTTATTTTATAGGTTTTACATAAAACTCCACCCCATCCAAACGTACACAAAACTAAACCGGAGTGGAGTTTTACGTCAATCATGATTACACTCTCCTTCCAAATGCGGATAAAATCAAACCGGTGTAAACTTTTACACTATTCTTGATTTACACCAATTCCAAACGCAGCCTACATCTCCACCCACAAAACACCATCGCCAAATATTGGAAATTCTCCTTGTGAATAAAAAGGAAGATATTTTCAATGTGTAACCGTAATGTACAGTGGATAAGGATGTGGGGACAATGAGCCCTTACTAATCTCACCCGTGTGTCGTGTGTAGACCTGTTCATGGGCCGGGCCGGGCCGGGCTCGGGTTGGGCTTTGACTCTTTATTAACAGAAAAATGTTAGGCCCGAGCCCAGCCCTGATAAAAAGCCCGAAGCCCGAGCCCGACCTAATAAAAGAAATTCAAAATTTTCCCTATTCAAATAGACATTATCTATTTAAATTCAGATGTTTTTTCCCCTATTTAAATGAACAATGGGCCTACAAGTGAATCAACAACCTTCTCAAATCAAAAAATTTATTCAAATGGACATTACATAGGGTTTTTACTTAGGTTTAACTACAGGTCAGGCCGGGCCGGGCTATTTTGGCAAAGCCCGAGCCCGGTTCAAATTTTATGCGGGCCAGGCTTTTTGGCCCGAGGTTAAGCCTGCGAGCCAAAAAGCCTGTTCAAGCCCGTCCGGGGGTCGGGCCGGGCCGGCCCATGAATAGGTCTAGTCGTGTGTATATATAGTTTTATGGCTTTTTTTATTGTTGGGACAATGGAACTAGGCCCAGGATTGAATTCGGCTTCAGTCAATGCAAAGCCCGTTCAAACAACCTTTAGGGGTGGCCACAAGCTGAGTTGTTCACGAGTTGTTCGAGCTCGACTCGTGAAAAGTTCGATCTAAACCGAGCTTCAAGCTGAATTCGAGCCTAACATATGGGCTTGTTTGTTATCGAGCCAAGCTCAAGCTTAATATAGCTCGGCTCGTAAGGCTCGCGAGCCTAGTCAAGTACATATGCATAAGGTGTCACCTCGGTTCCCACTACTGAAGGAGACCTCGGCTCGGCAACTAAGGGAGACCTTGACTCGACACCTCATCAGCTGAGGGAAACCTCAGCTTGGCAGCTCAACTCAATACCTCAACTGAGGGAGACCTCAGCCTGGCAGCTCGACTCAACACCTTGGCTGAGGGAGACCTCGACCTGGTAGCTCGGCTCAACACCTTGCCTGAGGGAGGCCTCAGTTTGGTAGCTCGGCTCAACACCTCGGCCTGGCAGCTCGACTGCTAAGGAGAGCAGCAATTAGAGGTAGCTGAGCTTGAGCCGAGCCGAGCTCAAACTTCCGAGCTTTTGGATCGAGCCGAGATCGAGCTCAAGTCACTAGTTCAAATCGAGCTCGAGCCTGGTAATTTATGACCGAGTTGAACTCGAATAGCCAAATATTCGGCTCGGCTCGACTCGGCTTGAATCCACCCCTAACAACCTTTTATCGCATTGCATTGGGAATGTCTCCCCATGAAGTAAAATACATAGCCATAGGTATTTAGATATTCCTAGTGTAAGGCTAGAAAGGTTGTTCGAACACTTTTATTATAAGGGAAAATTCCCAATCAGTAGCCTGTACTTTGGCTTGAGTGACAATTTGGTCCCCGAACTTTAAAATGTGACAATTCAGTACCAAAACTTTCAAAATGTGACAATCTAGTATTTGAACTTTCAAAATGTGACAATCCAGTACCTGTCGTTAACCAGTTTGTTAATCAGCCGTTAAGTGACACTTAAAAAGTCAAAAATACCCTTCAAATGTCATCTAATTCTCTTTATCAACCATCCAAACGTAGACAAAAAATTGACTAGCCCCAAATCCTAGCCTCTTCTATTCAAAAAAGTTGGTGACTATTTAGAAGAATGTAGAATTTGGGACTGTTCATTTTATTGTCAAATGTTTGGATGGTTGATAAAGAGAATTAAATGGCATTCTTAGGGCATTTTTGACTTTTCAAAAGTCACTTAATAGTTGATTAGCGGATTAGTTAACGACAGGTACTGGATTGTCACAATTAGAAAGTTTGGGTACTAGATTGTCACATTTTGAAAGTTTGGGTACTAAATTGTTGCATTTTAAAGTTCGGGGACCAAATTATCACTCAAGTCAAAATACAGGGTACGCACAATCCATCATTACCTGTATGTAGACATGGATGGGCAATTAAAAAGTCCAATAAGGGACAAGTGAGTGGTGGCTAGTTAGTACTATTTTTTGGGGATAAATAGATTGCACTCCACTTTAGAAAATCTGAAATTACAGCCCCCTCCTAGTCTATTAGTAGCCTCCTATAAACCGCATCCTCAATGTGGATTTGACATCGATCCACACGAAGTCTCAGATATGTGGATTGGAATATGCTATTACCACTTACCTCTATGAGTTGTTAACTTATTGTATTAATACAAAAAAAAAATGTCTGGTAAATTTCTTAAAGTACCCCAAAATTTTAAGAAATTGATTTACTCTATTCCTAATAATAATATTAAGAAATTGTCTTAAAGTTGAATTTGGAAAGAGTACAAAGTATAATATACAATATAAATACATAAAAAATAATATAAAATGCAAGATTTAATACAATGGCTGACTCTATTTTAAAGCTATAAAAATCCACCCAACAATAACTCTCTATCTTAACCTAGCTTAAAACAAAAGAGAAGCACATTACAACTTAAAAAAAAATGCAGGCAAAATAAATGCAGCTCTTTAACGGTTCATCATTCAACTTTGCATCTTCACAAAGCAACCTTGAAACTTCAATCATTCTGACTTTTTGAAAACATAAAAGAAAGAGTCGGACTATTTTTTCCCATCTCCTAATTTAAAAGTATAAAAAATAACTAATTCAAAGCAAAAATTCTCTATTTAGAATTTTCTAATTGAGACAATTATGTCTTGTGCATTCTAATTCAGACGTTTGTTTTTTCATTTTTCAAATCAAATTCTTCCAAACCCGAGGACTCATCAACCTTTATTTGATATGCGGAAACATCCAACTGGCTGAATCTCTCGTTTGCCAAATTTGGAATGATAACGTCTTCCTATTGAATGCTATCATCATAGGGTTGAGTTATACATCAATAGGCACTACTGGCAATATACCTCTTCTTTTATGAGAAATGGAACGAAGGTTTTATCTTTTATGAGGTTTGTTTTGAAAATTTGAAAAATAATAGAGGGCAAAATTGACCATATCAGGGAGGATTTAATTAAAAAACATAAGGTTACTGCAAGATCATTTCTAAAAAGGTAGGGGTATTGTAAGTGAATTTACCAAGTTTCAGGGGTAACTTAAAGATATGCCCAAACAAAAAATAATCAGATCATCCATCCCCTACTTATTGTGCAAGGAAGCATCCAAGCAGAAGTTCAATAAAATTACAGAGTGACTAGAACTCCAAGGTCCGTCTCGATTCGTCGCTGTTGCTCCTCCTCTAACCTTCCACCATGGTGCTTGAGGTCAGTAATTTAAGCTTTTTTATCTATAACAATGGGATAAGATTTTTTCTTCATTTTTTTTATGGATTAGGGTTTAATCTGATCGAAACTGTTGTTCGACAGGCTACTATGATCTGTATCGATAATTCGGAATGGATGCGAAACGGTGATTACACACCCACTCGGTTTCAAGCGCAAGCAGATGCTGTTAATCTCATATGCGGAGCTAAAACACAGGTAATTAGCAGCTGTCTATTTTCTCGTCACAATTCCTTGAAAATTGCCTTTCCAGTGGAGGGGATTTATGATTTGGTTTAATTCACTTGATGCTTCTATTTATTTAACTATTTTATTGTTGAATGGACTCTTGGAATTGCTTTCGTCTTTCGTTTGTTTATAGTTTCGGTTAAATTTGTTTTAGGGCTTGTTTCTAATGCGAATGGGATATTTTTATCTGCAGTCAAATCCTGAGAATACTGTGGGAGTTCTAACAATGGCTGGCAAAGGAGTTCGTGTTTTGGTCACACCGACCAGTGATCTCGGCAAGATATTGGCTTGCATGCACGGTACCTTGCCTCATTTTATATTTTCTTTCCGCCTTTAGTTTGATCCTCAGATGGATTGATTGTAAGTTTTCATGTTCTTTTTTATTCGGATTGATAGTTTGATCCTCATATAGACTTATGTTCAGTATTGTGAACTTCCAATAGATTGCACTCGTGCGAGAAGATTGATATTTGCAATTTTCGTTCCTAGTTGGATTTCTGAGTTTTATGGACAAATTTGGTTTAGGAAATTGATATTCTAGAGTTTGAGTGTAGCTGACCATTCCTTTTATTAGCTCAAAGGATTGCCAGCTACTTGCTTTTGGTATGGACTCCGATTTCATAACTCATGACTTTGCTAATTTTGCCTAGTGTCATATGCACTTGGTTTCGTTGTAGGATGGAAGCACCATCTCTTTTTTTATTTGCTTTTCTGCGATGCATTAATCTCAGGATGGCACTATACATTGTTTGAGTTGCAGATGATGCAGGAGAATGTAGGAGTCAATTAGTTTGTGGTTCTGTGGGACTGTTGATTAAAGGTCTCTTAGCAATAAAAATTAACACTGAAAATCATAAGTAGATATAGATTACATGATAGGATCTCGTGACTTGCTTGGATAGTATGTCTTTTATCTTCACTATTAATTTTCCATCTTGTTTTGCAAACATGTACCACTTGAAAAATCTTCAATGACTGGATAGTTTATAGATTTATGGATCTTGATAGTTAACCAGGTTCTGTTTGTGGCCCTTTGAAAGGACCTTTAGTGCCTATCATTCTGAGTCATTGTGCATAATCAATCTTTTAATGCAAATAATAGGCACTCTTGGTTGCACTGAAATAAGAGTCCAGAGCTCAATAACTTAGCCCCAAATATCTACAACCAAAATTCTTAGTGGAGCTATTGAATATGAAAACGGATGAAAATTTGATCCTTTCTGCAATATCCATATTCTTTATGGTGACTTCTGATGAAAAACCCTTGATCAAGAAATATATTTCTACTTCTGGATGTCCATTCCACTTGAACATAGCTGCATTGTATTGCAAAGAAACTCCTTAATGATAAAGTTGATAATCTGGTCTAGATAATTTATGGTTGAGAATGAGGTATATTCTTCCTTAAGGATATGTATGAGGGTGCAATAGCAAATGTTAAAGCACCAGTCAGAGAAACATTAGAATTTACAGTTAAGATGGGTCTTCACCAAAGTTTAGCACTTAGTCTTATTTATTTGAATTGGTCATGGATGAATTGAATAAACACATGGAGGTCCCACCAATCCCATATAAGTTGGGACAAGGCATGGATGATGATGATGATTCAGGAGGAGGTTCCATGGTGCTTGTTATTTGCTGATGACATGGTACTAATTGATTTAACTAACTAAGGATTAAATACAAAATTATATTTATGGACAAATATCTTAGATACAAGAGGTTTTAAAATAAGTAGGACTAAAATAGAATGTGCAGTGCTGTGTAATGTCCTCCTTTATTATCTTGGTTCAATAATCCATAACAAGGGAGAAATTGATGGGGGTGGGCAAAATGGAGGGGAGTATCCAGAGTCATGTGATAGGTGCTTATCACCTGAGCTAAAAGGCAAGCTTTTAAGAGATAGTTGTAAGGCCAACAATGTTGTATGGAAAATAGTGTTACACAGTCAAGAAACAATGTGTAAAAAAATGTATTTGGCAGAGATGTGAATGTTGAGATGGATGAGTGGGGAAATGAACTCATTCAAAGGAAACTAGGACTAGCTTCATTTGGTGATAATATGAGGCAAAGTTGATTAAGATGGTCTGATTACGTGTAGAGGGAGCCACATAGCACCCACAAGAAGTGATCTATTACAAGAAGGGTCTAGTAGAGCTAGAGGATGACGAAAAAGGACATGGATTGAAGCAGTAAGAAATGATTTTAAGGGATCATTATTTGACAACGGATATGGCTTTGAACAGAATGGAGTGGTGAAGCAGGTTTCATGTAACTGACCCATATAGCTGGGATGAGGCTTAGATTATGATGATGATGAGGTGTGTGCCTAACCAAGTTGAGGTGGTGAGGTGCATGCATAGGCCTCAGATGAAACAAACAAGGTGGTTGAGGCTGTGTTTTGGCTTTGCCTTGCCTTGGGCATATGCCTCAACCATGTCATATTCTACTCTAGGGAATGGGAAGTCCTTTCATTGTTTTGATTTTGTATCACTTGGAAGCCTCTCAACATATATTGATTGGTGATGCCGTGATGCAAAATAAAATAAGTCATTTCAAGCAAGGTTTTAAAAACCGACCTGGAAACCAAACCGTTGTGGCCACCAGTTTTCAGGTCAACGGTTTGGCTGTCCGGGTCAAACAGTTCAGGCAGTTTGAGTATATTGAAATATTAGGGTTCATTACACTTACTCTTTTATAAGAAAAAAGGGACATGTGATTGTCAGCTGAGAAAGGAAGAAAGAAAAGTAGGAAGGAAAGAAAGAAAAAGAGGAAAGGAGAGAAAGAAAAGGAAAGAAGGAAAAGTAGGAAGGAGGGAAGAAGGAGGAGGAGAAGGGGGGAAGGAGGGGGAAGAACATCCGGCGTTCACCGGCGATGGCGACGGCAACGTGGTGGCAAGCATTCGGATCTCTCTGAGATCATTTCAGAACTGAGATCTGAGATCAGATCTGTTTCTCCGATCCGAGATCTAAGAACTGAGATATCCGATCTCTGTTCTCCAATCTCTTTCTCGTGGTCTGATCTGTTCTCCAATCTCTCTCTCTCTCTCTCTCTCTGCAATATTGTCTCTGTCTCTCACCGTGAACCGCTGCAATATTGTCTTGGTCTCTCTGCAGTATTGTTTCAATCTCCTTGCACCTTATTAAAACGTGAACCACTGTCTGGGTCGAACGGGTCGACGGTTTGACCGCCGGGTCAGCAGTTTTCTGACCAAGTCAACGGTTTCTAGCCCAGAAACGGGTTAAGGGTGAAAGGGAACCAGTTGCCTGGACAGTTTACAATGGCTCAGAAACACTGATTTCAAGTAAGTTATGATAAACATTGTTGATGTGTATTACCATTTTTTGTATCTTTACTAGATTAACTTTTTAGCGAGATTTCATCTGGTTTTCATCAGCAAAAGGTTTTGAGGAAACTTCCTCTTCTTAATCGTTTCTTTCTTTAGGTTTTTTGGTAATTGAAATGCCATTGACCTGAATATAAACACAACCACAACCTGATAGAAAGCCCAAGAAAACATCAAAACATAATAAAACTAAAGAGAAACACATTAAAGAGATATAAAACTACTGATAAAATTTCAAACTGAGGTGAGAAGCAGGCACACTGTTTCTATCTCTTTGCAACACATCAGTCAGCCAAACTGGGGGATGGGTCTTAAGCCATTCTACTTGGGTTTTGAAACCCATCTTTGGGCATTCCTACATTTGGATTTGGACAAAACTGTCACAAGTTCTTTACAGCCACTTTCCAAGGTTATATTCCCTGCTTTGGTTCTCCTGCTCAAAATCACTCACTCCCCTGATTGTCGTAGCCTTCACCACTTGAGTGTTATGTGCTCGACTTACTCCTGTTCTTGCCAAAATGAACTTGCCCTAACTTGACCTAGTTACAACTCCAAAATCAGCTTCATCATTCCTTTTGTAGCTACTATGTATATTTACCTTCACCAAGTTATGTGCTTGGTTATGGTCCTAGAAGGAATCTACCTGTATTGACCCACTTATCCCTATGTTGTGACTTTTGATATATTTCTACAGACCAACTTGCAATCTACTTGACTTAGTGTAAGACAACTACCATTTAGATCTTATTCTTCTTTTGATTAGAATCTAGTTGACTGTGTTGCCTTGGATGTATGAATGTATAATGTTGTATATGAAGGTTGTTCAATTTTTATACATCTTCAAATCCTGCACCTCTTTCTTTTTTGAATTTTTTATTGCATAATTTATAGAGTCATATATGTTAAGTTTGTAAACATAAATAATACCTAAGACTTAAAATCCAGACCCTATCTAACCTGGGCTGACCTCGGTTCGGGTTGAAATTTGTATTCGGTTGAATTTATTTGTGTGTTCAACACTTTGGGTTAGGTAGGGTCTGGCTACTCACAAGCAAGGATCAAAATATCGATATGCTTTGATACCAAAAGTTCAGTATTGGTGTGTATCGATAGACCAATACTTGTTTTTTTTTTTTTTTTTTTTTTTAACAGCTTGAGAAGGGTTGCCTTCCATTATCCCAAACTTTCAAAAACCCCTAGTATTTTGGTTTATCCATGAGTCTCCATGAACTTGGATATGGATATGATACACCTGATACTGTATACGCATATTCTCAAGGAGTTGGACTTGTTACATACTGTATACACTTGAAAAGAAACAGAGAAGGTCTGGTTTAGGTTGGGTTGCATTCCTATATCTAAATCCTATCTGCATGCATTATCTAACTAGGTAGATGTAAAATTGAGCTGGTCAATTGGATTCAGTTGAGAATTGAGACTGACACAAATTGCAGTATTGCACCCCTATTTTAACTACTTCATTTCATTCTGTTTCCAGTCCATATTTATTGGTATCCTAATTGTGGTGAGCATTTATAAAGAATTGAGCTTTCAAACTAACAATTAACATTCCATGAATTGACTGTTTTTTCCTTCTTTTTCCTATCAAATATGGTTACATGTTGCATGATGAATGCAGGGTTAGAAATAGGTGGTGAGATGAACTTGGCTGCAGGGATTCAGGTAGCTCAGCTAGCTCTTAAACATCGCCAAAACAAAAAGCAACAACAAAGAATTATTGTTTTTGCTGGAAGGTGGATATCTCGATGTGTATTTTTCATTGTCACCTTTGAGTTCTTAATTTTATTCTTATTATTATCTACCATGCTTTCAGTCCAGTCAAATATGACAAGAAGGTATTAGAAACAATTGGAAGAAAGTTAAAAAAGAACAGTGTAGCTCTTGATATTGTTGATTTTGGTGAGGGAGATGATGGAAAGCCAGAAAAACTGGAGGCCCTCCTTTCTGCTGTAAATAATAATGACAGCAGTCACATCATTCATGTTCCACCTGGTCCAAATGCTCTTTCCGATGTACTCATAAGGTTGGCATCCACTGTGTGTATGTGTGTTTTAATGGCACAGTTCACATCTTTGTGCATTTCGAGTGATATGGCTTCCTTCTTTTCATTACAGCACTCCTGTATTCACTGGGGATGGGGAAGGGGGAAGTGGCTTTGCAGCTGCGGCAGCAGCAGCGGCTGCAGCAGGTGGGGTGTCAGGCTTTGATTTTGGTGTTGATCCCAATTTAGATCCTGAGCTAGCCCTTGCCCTTAGAGTTTCCATGGAAGAAGAAAGAGCAAGGCAAGAAGCTGCTGCTAAAAGGGCTGCAGAGGAAGCTGCCAGACAAGAAAAAGGAGGCGAACAGCCATCAAATTCACAAGATACAACCATGACTGAACACAAAACTATTACAGCTCCTGAAGCTGAGAATAAAAAGAATGATCTAATGGTTTGTCTTACCACAGCTTTTATATTTTACTGGGAATCATATATACCTTTTGGTGACCACATTGGACATGTATTGGAAACTTATTCACTCTCAAAAAATGCACTATTGTCTTTCTGTGTATACTTCTGGTCAGTGGTCAGTGGTCATGTTATCTGAAAACAGTTTTAGGCATTTAACCACAATGTCTAAATATATATCTACTACATTAGATCAAAGGAACTATCCTTTGTGGATCATTAATAATTTAATTCACATCACCAGCTCGAAAGCTTCTAAGAAAGTAGGTATTGTCATTCAGTCATTGTTAGCAGAAGGTATTGGCTTGTAGAATGCAGTTTTTTTTTTTTTTTTTGAGTGCCTCTCCTTTGGTGCCATGTCACTTGATCTTGTATTCAATTGCTGCATGTCTCTTGTTATAAATTGGTCAAAATCCAAGTTCAGCATTGTAAAATGCATCTACTAGATGAATGATCTCATAAAAAAGAGTTGCAACTTCAATAGGTTCTCATTCCGTTTTGCAGATATTGGCTTTCTTGCTTGGCAATTTATAATTGCTCTGCATGATATGTCACAAGCCCCTTTAACGTTTCTGCCTGTGAAATGGTTACAGGATGATGAGACTGCATTGCTAGAACAGGCCCTTGCAATGTCAATGGATGATCCTAGGACTAGTAACTCTATGGGTGACACAGATATGTCAGAGGCAACTACAGAGGACCAAGATTTGGCCTTTGGTGAGCTCTTATATTCTGTTGAGACGTTTTCCATATTTAGGTCTATTATTTGTTGAACTTCTATGTGCTTATTATTCATGGCGAATTACACATTTTTTTTCAGTACTAATAATTCTGATTTCATCGTGGGGTCTATTATGTGATTTTCTATTTCCTTTCATGCATTTGAAGCTTCAATTATAGGTTATTTGTCTCATGATTAGAAGAATTTTCTTGGTTTGATGGCCTTAAATTATTAGAACAGACTGAAGTGTAGGGCTGTCAATGGGTTGGGACAGGTATCCCAGTTCTGAACCAATTATTAATTGGGACAAAATCATGGACCCAGAACCATTTTGATTAATAATCAGGATAATTGGGTCCATCTGACATATTCATTTATTTATTTAAATAATAACTTACAATTTGAATTTTAATAATATAGCCTTAATAAAAATGAAAGTAAATTAGTAAATTATTTATATGTTAATAAATCAAGTGTTAACTAATATTATCTTATACATTATCTATCAAATTTACCATTTCAGAGTTCAGACATAAAATATAATAAAAATTATAAGGAAACTAGGAAACCCTTAGATATAGGTATATATTTAATAAATTAACTGGTTCAGGTATGAATCGGTTTGGAACAAGCAAGAACTGGAGCCAACCCAATTATTAATCAGGACAAAATCATGGAAACAGAATCAGTGTAATCAGTTCAGTTCGTTCGGTTGGGCAGAACCGATCCATTGACAGCCCTACCGAAGTGTAGGCACAACTCCCTATTTTTGTAGCTTTCTGATTTGTACCTGCATTTGCATTCATGTACTTATGCTTCTCTATGCACCCTTTTTTTCACCTATTGTTGACATGTGCTAGTGTGTCTTATGTTTGAAGCAATATCCTGTTTGTGCCTCCCTGTACATGTGCATTGCATATAGACTGGATATAATCTAACCTTTTGTGTGTGTGTGTGTGTTTCAGGCTACATTGGATAGCCATCCCCATCAAACAGTGGTATCTTAATTAAGATATACATTGGTGGTTATTTACACATTGGAAAGTAATGGCATTTAGAGAACATTTTATTTCAAGAATAACTAGGTTCTTGTAAAAAAAAAAAAAAAAACTAGGTACCTCAAAGTATGAAATACATCTCTTTTTTTTCTGGTGCTAGTCTCCAAATCTGAACCTTTGCAGTGTGAAGGGTCCCCTCATTTGACACACAAGGGAGGTGTGTGTCATATGAAATACATCACTATAACTAGGTTCTTGTTTATCAAAAAAAAAACTAGGTACCTCAAAGTATGAAATACATCTCTTGGATGACAGTTTGTGTTGTCCATTTCTTTTTTCCTTTTTTGAGATATAGTGATGAAAGTGCAATTTATTGCATTATTATTTTTGGTTGTGGGAAACTGGGAACCAGTTACTGCTTTGGCTGTTCACAGCAGGGACATGAAGGTGACAACTCATCTAACACCTAAAAGCCAAAGAGACTTGTTACTATCTTGGCTTGGTCTATGTAATATCTCAGGATTGTTTCTCAACTTGGTTGTGTCGCATTCATGGAGATTTAAACATCAAGGAAGATTTTGCCATGTCACCACTCACATGACCAAGTTGACTCACATTTTTCTTTTTTCCTTTCCTGCATGTTCTGATCTGCTGCCCTTCTTTTGATTTAGCCCTTCAGATGTCTGTGCAAGACAATCCAAAAGATTCAGCTTCCCAGACAGAGATGAACAAGGTCCTGGGGGACCAGTCTTTTGTGTCATCTATCCTTGCTTCGGTATGGATATGTTAAGTTGAACTTGTCAACCATATAAATGATTAGTTCTAGTTTGCTTTACAAGTTTCCTGATATATTATTTCTCTCACAGCTTCCAGGAGTTGACCCAAATGACCCTTCTGTAAAAGATTTGCTTGCGTCTTTGCAAGGCCAATCAGAGGTAAGTTCATGAGACCTTTGCCATGTAGAATCTGAGCTATGTGATACATACTATTTAGATTTTATATTCATGAGTTGTAACAGAATGCACTATCCCTTTTTATGCCATTGTCCATCAGTTTATTTTTTTACTTTCTTCTCCTTCCCTTACATTTTGGTAGCCATATAACCATGAAATGTTTTCAATATTTTTGCCTCCCAAGTAATTATTAAAAAAATTATTTTTGCCTCCTAAGTATTAGGAGTTTATTTGAATTATGCCTTCTTAATGGAGAACATTCTTAATAATGCATTTTTTATGAATTTTTTTGATATGCTGCATTTACATTTTACATAATTATGTACCTATTAAGCCCCATTTGCTTTTCAGCAAGTTACTTACCCGGGTAATTGCAATTACTTGGGTAAGTTTTTCCTGGGAAACACTTACCCGGGTAAGTGCATTTACCCATGTTCTTATTTCCCAAGTAAACAAGGCAATGACCATTTTAGTCATAAAAATCCATTATTAAAAGGTGCATTTTTGTCCCATTCAAGTATTGACAACTTTCCCCCCAGGTGGGAAAGTTATTTATTCACCTAGGAGATCTGTTATCACTTAAAATAAACTTTCCCTGGTCCCCACATAAATCTGAAAAAAGAACATGTGATTCTTGGTCAATAGGAACCAAAATCCTATTGACCAACTTTCCCCCCTCTCAAAATCCAAAAAAAAGAACGCCCCCTTGGGGAATTGTATGTAGTAACAAATAATAAAAAGGTTAACAAAATCGCTTCTTTACTCAGTTTTGAAGGTCTGTTAGAACTGCTGAAATGTATGTTTTAGACTTAGATTTAGAAAGCAAGATTGGGAATGGATTTCATGTTATTTGTCATTAATTACAATCAGATCTACATCTTGTGTTCTATAAATAAAGTTACACAACAAACTAATCTTTCAAACTGGAAAAAAGGCTCATCACCCAATGCTAGTCCCTACCATCCAGCTATCCATAAATAAATACATCTCTTCCTCTGACTATATTCAATTACTAGGCTGAGCAGAAGAACGACGACAAGCCACCAAACGAGGACAAGTGATGATTCTTGGAAACTGTTGCTGGTTTCTTAGGAGGTAAAGTTTAACTCATGATTATTTGATAATGATGTAATAGGGATCAGTATAGTTGATGCAGTGGGTTGGATCTCCTGATGATGTTAATGCAATATTTAAGCATTCTTACTGTTTTTTTTCCTGGTCCTTTTCTGCAGATAAGCTCATTGTTTTCATCTTTTTTAGTGTACGAAGAGGCGTGGGTTCCATCTACTGAATTCTCAAAAATCTATTCTTATTGTTCAGATGTTTCTTGTGGAAGAATCATGGAATTACAGAAAGTTGGATTAATGTTAATTTATTAGATAATGCCATCGTTAATGATTAGTAATTAGGTAATGCTATGAGATTGAGAGGAAGGACAAACATGCGAATGATGTTCCAACTTTTGAAGTGGAGGGCATTATGTTTTAAAAAGATAAAAATCATTGTCGACTCCATGTACAATTAATTTTATGATTTATATCCAATTTAATTATATACTATTGGATTTCGGATCCGGTTTTCTTCTTTCATTCCCTAAATGGCCAGTTACCTGTAAAAGAGTACGTGGTTTATCAGATGATTTCCAGGTGTGTCATGCTTGTAGGCATTTTAGGTTGTCTTCCGTTATGTATTATTCCTTTTTCAACTTGAAAGGGTAGGGGTCTGTTACCAACAAACTCTCCCAACACTTGTCCCAGCAAGCCACATTTGGGCCTGGGGAGATAGATGTTCCGGATGTGCGACTCCCATGGTTAGTTGGGTCCGTTTTGTTAGTGTTTGTTGATAGCAGATCTGAACTCAACTTAAAAGTGTTTTGGGTTATTGAAACACCCATTTATTCTTGAAATACAGGTGCCGCCGTCTATACTTGAATCCTGTTTCGTGGGAAATGTGTTTTTAGTGTTACACAGGTGAGGACCTTCAAATACCAGATCAAAGTTTTTATCCCAAAACAGTCTCCAAATAAAAATGAAAATTGACCGTTGAACTCTGAATACCTATGTGGTGCTGTTGTAATACTGTTTCTACTCAAAACGATCATGATACCTACCCCCCCCCTCGTTGCAACTAAATATTAGTGAAATGCAGATAGGGGTGCAAAGTCGGGCACCCGATTTGAAGACTTTGCACCTTTCCGGCATCATATATAGAAATTGCACTGATATATAAACATCCAAGGAGTAGTAATAATAGGATTGTCTAATCTCTCCATTCCTCCTGTCTTCGCAAGTTCAATCTCGACCTGCTGAAATTGCAATCATCTAATGGAATCTCCTACGTTGGTCCAGAATATTGTGCGTATGGCTGTTTGGAAGGAGTACAAATACAAATAAGTATAAAACCTTGTATTTTGTATTATTTTGCATGTATTTACACTATACATATTTGTATTTATATTCTTTCTGACTCTATGGCTTCATTTGGAAAGAATACAAATGCATAGAGTGTAAAACCTTATATTTTGTATTATTTTATATCTATCTGTACTGTACATATCTGTATTTGTACTCCTTCCGAACTGAGCCTATGTGACTATGTTTCCATATGGATCTCAATTGGTTATTCATTACCTAATTAATGACTTGCAGATCAGCTTTTGGATTGGAGATGCATGGGTGGAAGAATATGTGTATTTTCTATTCCTAACATATTATAGCATTCCCCAATCTACTGAAAAACACGGTTAAACCCTAGAAGGGTGAAAGCTGTTAAAAGTAGTGGTATTTCACTTTTGCCCGAGGGCTCCCACTTATCCTATACCTCTCAAGTCATTTCACAAAGTCGGACTAGAGTCAAGCTCAACAGGGTCTTCTTTCCCCGCTGGTTCTGCCAAGCCCGTTTCCTTGACTATGGTTTCACTGGATAGTAGACAGGGACAATGGGAATCTTGTTAATCCATTCATGCACGTCACTAATTAGATGACGATGCATTTGGCTATCTTAAGAGAGTCATAGTTACTCCCGCCAACAAATCATGGTTTTTAAAGCCGGATCGGACCAGAAAAACCGGGAACCAGTCACCAGACCAGTTTCGTTTTTCCCCAAAATCGTTGAACTGGCCGGTTAACCATTCGAACCGTTTTGACTGTTTTTCAAATTTTTAAATTTTTTTTTATTTTTTATCAAAACGGGCCAATCGTTCGACTCGGTAACCGGACCCCTGACCGGTTCGATCGCCAAGTCAGTTTTAAAAACCATGCTACAAATTGGGATCTGCTCCTCACAGCCACATCTCATGTGTATTGGCATCTACTATGAATAATAACATACAAGAACAGGAAATGTTCCTGATGTGAGGCTGAAAGAGATGCTGTGAGGAGCAGATCCGGACTCGAATGCTGTTAGCAGTAGATGAATAGAATACCCATATGCGTCACCCTTGGACTTTGGTGATTGGGTACTAATATTTCAATATCAGCTTCAGTGCTCAAAACATTCAAAGTGCATTTTATAGTCATACATTGAGAATATCTCCATACTTGTATGCTTTTTTACAAGACTGCAAAGGACTCTACCAACCCTTTGGATCAATGACTGATAAAGCCAGTAGGACTCACACGGTTTACTCACTAGAAAAGGCTTCAGGTCGGACCGGATTTACATCCGGACGATATTCCATCCACAGATGTACATCAGCACATGCATGCATACGCAGCTATGTACGCATGAACATGATTTTCAGTTTGGAGTTTGGAGTTTGGACCCTTTCGAAAACGGTAGACCGTAGACTTACTTCACCGCCAACCACCAGCATTGAATTACTTACTTACAGGAGGAAGGAGTCATGAAGTGAAAGACCCATCGCACTAGCAAACAGCAGCCCGTCCTTGGCTCCATCAAAATAAAAATGAAAAAAAGAAAATTTATGGATGGAAGACTGGGAGAGTGGGGACTCAAGATTCTAAGAACAAACAACTGGTGGACACCAATATCCTGCTGCTGGGACTCTTCCATATGAGAGTTGGTGATAATGTGATGTGTCCCCCCTCACACACACAATCTTATAGATGTGGTCGTTGCAAGTGTATATGATATGCCTTTGTGGATACTCTATTCCTATTCCTTTGTGATTTGTAGTCATCCTTCTCTCATTAAGATAAACAAATAAAATAAATAATAAGCTCATTAGTCCTTATCTCATCACCTTGATTTCTAGAAAAGATTTAGGGTTTTTAAAGGCTAAAGGGGGGCAGTGCTTCTTCAACATTATAAGATTTATGGAAATGAATGTATTTTAATTTGTAGGTTTGCGCCTTTAATTTGTCAACCACACGTTCATTGTGGATTGTACACACCACCCTCGAAGGCTTTAGGAAAAGCTCAATTGAGGCTTGACTTTGGTGTTTGGACAAAATCCAGATGGAGATGGGTATCGATTTCCTTCCTCCCGCCCACTGCAGTCTCCACAAGCTTTTGATGATGTGGGTTCGGGTCCATTTGGATTTTTGGAGGGGAGGACTGTCGGTCGTCCGGTAAACACTCAAATCTCTTGGGCTTCTCTCTCGCTTGTTTTTGCTTTTGGTCTCTTACTCTTTGTTTGTTTTCATCTACTCATGATCTGCTATGATGTACATGCATGTACCTCGTCTTTATCTTTCTTTCTTCCTTTCTATAAAGTTGTGATTTCCCTCTCCTCCACTTTACTTTTACGCCAAGGAAGTCAAGTCCTGGTGCGGCGAGGGGATGGAGGTAGGAGACTAGGATGTGTGTTTTTGTGGTCCCACAAGATTTGAAGAGGGGTCCACATTGCTGCACTAAACTAAATAAAAAACTGCATACACATCTACACACGCAGTAAATTCTAATAATATCCTCATTATTAAAGATAAATTAGGTAACTTGTATTTTGGGGTAGTGACAGATAGCTATCTTAAACTTTCAATTGTAATATTTTGATATCCTAAATTCTCAAAAATAGACATTTGGGTCTATTCCTTACTATTTCGTTAGTTAAATATTATATAATGTCAAAAATATCTTTCTCGTATATTTTTAATATCATTCTATTGAGTAAAATTATCACCAAAGAATGTCATCGTTGGAAATTTGAATCTATTATTTTCTGTCCATGTGAAAAATTATCATGGGGAAATAGAATAGTAACGAATGGATCAAAGTGTCTATTTTTGAAAATTCAGGGTACTCAAGTATTACAGTTAAAAATTTCAGATACCTAACTGTTACTACCCGAAAGTATAGGGTACCTATATTTCATTTACCCTATTATTAATGTTGCCACTCACTCTCCACATCATCATCAAATTCTATCATGAGATTTTACCAAATTCTTCTCCACTAAGTCTGCGTTTGATTGAGGTAAAAAAATCCTAATGTAAAAGTCATTATAAAGTCAGTGGTTGTATTTAAAATTTGATGGAGCATTGAGGGGGTTTTTATATGAGAATTAATGTAAATATATATAGAAAATCAAGGTTTAAAATTTTGTCACATATACGGGTCGATACGTATCGTATCTTAGGGTTTTTGGCACGGGAAATAATCCGAAATCAATTGTACCGTTCCTTTTCATCATGCTGAAGGCGTATTATCGACATCGTATCGATGAGTTTCGGTCATGTATCGGTCGATATGCTTTTATTATTTTACATTGAAAAGAAATGAATGTAAATGCAAACGGACGGTGAAATTTTGCATTTCGGAAACAACGCTTATTAAAGAATCTCAAATTTTGATTTATTTTTTGTAAATACTTATTTAGGTTGGATTACATTAAAAGCTTTTATCTTTCAAATAAACACTCCCAAACTCCGTCTAAAAAGAAAATTGATGATCATGCGATGCGATGAATCATCACCGTACATACCATCAAAGGGCCATTTGCCCATTAGTCGTTCTTGGACCACATATGTTTGTTTGTATGAGTGGCCAAGAGGTTAGAGAAAAAGGTGTGGCGACAGCCGACAGTCGAGGAAGGGATCAGATCAGGGAAAAGATGACGCAGCCCGGCCGGACCGGATTTGGAAGTTGGAACAGGTGTGACCCTGGACCTGGAGAGGGTGGGTCCACCAACACCAATGGATCAGAATCGGAGAATGACCGACCTAGCTCGACGGTTCGGTTCGCACTCTGGAATCTGGTCCACTTCTGTCTGCAAGTTGGCACATAACATCAACGATCGATCATCTCTGCTGTCCATCAAGTGGGCCACCATCCCTCTTATCTATCAAAGGACTATCATGTGGAATGTGGCCATCCAAATTCGTGCTTCGTATACAGGAGATCCTTTCTAAAAAGATCTGTAATTGAGATTAAAGTCAGTGGCATTTCAACAATCCTCATGCGTGTATGTATATATAATAATCTATACGCAACCACTCTCCAGTGGCAACAGAAGAGTTTCTCAGGGTGCGGTGCAGCGAGGCGCCGCAGACAATCCTCCTCCAGACTGCATCTACAATAATGGCGATGGCTTACAAGATGGTAATCCATAGCATTTTAATTCAAATTCTTGCTTTTTAATCATATCGACCGACTCACTTGTTCTCTTTCTAAGATTGATTGGATGGATGTGGATCGATTTCAATTTTCGAATTAATCAAGGACTATGGGTTTCTTAATTTGTTTCATGTCTATGATTCATGACGATCCGGTTTCTGGTGGTGTGTGTTCTAACATTCACGATAAGCAGGCGACGACCGGGATGTGGGTAACGGATGAGTGCAGGAACTCATTCATGGCATTGAAGTGGAAGAAGGTTCACCGGTACATCGTGTTCAAGATCGACGAAAGATCGAGACTGGTGACCGTCGACAAGGTTGGTGGGCCCGCCGAGAGCTACGACGATATGGCTGCATCCCTCCCAGATGACGATTGTCGATATGCCGTCTTTGACTTTGACTTCGTCACCGTTGATAACTGCCGGAAGAGCAAGATCTTTTTTATTGCATGGTTTGTCAATTAATTGTTTTTGTTCCCTCTCTCTCTCTCTCTCTCTCTCTCGGTAATTATAAGATCCAGAACAGAAGACGGCTTTAGGATCTCTACTTTACACGGGGTCTTTGTATTCTGTAGAAATGAAATTAAAGAAAATGTGGTTGATTCAATTTCAGGGCTCCGACGGCCTCAAGGATAAGAGAGAAAATGTTGTATGCAACCTCCAAGGACGGGCTGAGGAGAGTGCTTGATGGTGTTCACTACGAAGTTCAGGCCACGGATCCCACAGAAATGGGGATTGAAGTAATTAGAGACAGGGCCAATAGATAGAGATGCATGCATGCAGATTGCAGGTTGCTGGTTGTAGATTGCAGAAAGAGGAAGAAGGAGGAGGAGAAGGGCAGCTAATTAACCAATTTGTTCCTCTTCATTTTCATATTTAATAACTTAAATATTTATATCAACGATCAATCGCAGTGCTGGATGTCCTACTGTAACAGTTTTCCTTTCAGCTCCTTGAATCTAATGTTTCTTTTTTTTTTCTTTCTTCCTTTTAACACTGATGTGAGCTGATCCGCTGCTAACCTGTACAAATAAGATGTGTTGTAGCATGTTTAAGCAAGTAGTCAAAAAGCACTTTCAAGCTTCTGCTCCTTTCCAATTACTTTCAAGCTTCTCCCAAGATTTCATTGCATTAATTAAGTAATTAACACAACAACGCCATCACCCTTCACCCATCAATAGCGCCAATCGCCTCGTAATCCCAAATCTATCTGTTTATGATTCGTCCTACTCCTGCGATTGGTAGGGCTGTAATTTGGCTCGAGTTGGATTTAGATATTTGTTAAAATTTTGAATGGGGCCCAATCGCCCAAGCCCAAATCCCAGCAAATCACTCAAATCTCTAAAGAGATTTCATGGTTCACGGTCAATAATTACACATAGGATTTATCTTCTTTTTGCTGTTAAAATGCCCTTATGAATTTTTAACCACAAAAATAATCTAATGGGTTGGTTCCATTCGGTTCTGACTTTGGTGGTTTCGGAGTTGGTTTCAGAGTCTATCCATAAAATTTTTTCTTTCTTTATTCCCTCTCAAAAAAATTGTGTTCTTTAAAAACTTGATTGCGAATAAATATAATATATAGTTTAAAACTTATACCATTTTTATTGATTAAATTGAGTAACTTAGTATGTAAATTATCATTATGTGATTCAAAACTTATAATTTAATTTAAACTTTATAAATATTAAACATTCAAATATTAAAATGAAAACAAATGATCAAATAACTTAAGTAATTCAATGGTCAAGTGAGACCATGACCTTTCTCACCACCAATGTTTGGGTTCAAATATTCACATCCCCAAAAAGTATTTTAGGATTTATTTCAAGACAAATTCAGTTCAAGGTAGGTTCCACCAAGGTCGGTTCATTGGATAGGGTCGGTTCCAAAAATTTGGAACCAAACACTACCCTATAACAGATTGGGTAGGGTCGGTTCAATGTCGAGGTCGGTTCCATTTGGTTCTAGGTAGAACCTACCCATTTGCTTACCCCTTATATATATATATTAAACTACCCCTACTATTTAGCTAATTAACAAACTATACCCTTATTGTTTAACTATTGTCTTAAACCATCCCTATTGTTTCTTACAATTGTCATCATCATTAAATCATAACAAAAAGGATGAAATGTCCCTTTTGCCCTTGGTCTCTCCCTCTCCCTCTCTCTTTCTCATTTCTTTTCATAGCCTTCGATGTTATTAGTAACTTCTGACATCAGCCCAACCAGAATCACGCGCTCTTCTAAAACCCTTCTCTTTTCCCTCTTCTCTACCGCAGCAAGGTGTTGAAGACTAGGTTTAAACCCACTGTACTTCAGCGTATGCTTTTTCAATTTCCTCTCTCCTTTTCAAATAAAAAGGAAGAAAACTTGGACATTAAAATACTAATTACTCCAGTAATACAAAGCAGCATCAGCAATAATTTGAAGTAAACTTATTATTTGCGATTCCCCCTCTGTTTTGTTGACCATTGTTACCATCTATGTCTTCTACATCTACCTCATTCAAGGTTTTTACATCGTCTAGCTCGTATGTGCTGGGTATCTACATCCTGAATCTATTGATCAGAGAGGAAAAAAGAGAAAAGAAGGGAGGTTTCGGTGGGGGCATTTTCAGTTAAGGAAACCGTTTCTCCTCAGCTCCACTGGTCTCTTCTCACCCATTGTGGTGCTGTCCATCAAATCTCTCGACATCATCAGCACTGAAGTCATCTCCAATTCCCTGTCTCAGCAGATATTCGTAGTCATGGTGGATTCTCCTAAATTACATCCCCATTTTCTCCTAAACTATCTCTAATTCCTATTTATCTCTTAAATTATTTTTAATTTAGTAGAGAGTTTCTCTCCTAAATTATCTCTAATTTCTATTTATCCTCTCCCACACTTTTTATCTATTTATTGTACTAATTATTTGAGATTAAACTACTGTTATTTAACTTTTTAAATTTATTTTTGTTGTACTAATTGTAGTTGTTGTATTTTTGTTATACTTTATTGATTAATATTTATTAGATATTAAACTATTATTTGAGATTACACTATTTATTGGCTAATTTAATATATTTCTTAGTATTTATTGTATCTTTGTAATTATTGGATTTTTATTAGTTATTTATTGTATTTTCATTATCAAGATATTTTCAATAATGTGTATTTTTGCTATAATTTTTCAATATTATTAGAGATTAAACTATTGTTATTTATTATAGATTTGACTACTAATTTAATTAAAACTAGGAGTGTTCACAAGATGGTTTGATTCAGTTCAATTGTACGTTGTTTTGCCAATCAAATCGACTTGGTCAAGTTAGGGAGTTGGTCACTTGAAACTAATTGACCGTTAGTGAAAACCAGCCAACTCGTGTTGTATTGGTTTGGATTGATTTTCGGTTTGGCCGATCAATTCAAAAGATTTAAACTAAACAAAAAATCAATTTAAAATTAAAAATTACAAGTGTCATTATTAAAAAAATAAATTTATGATATAAAATATTTTAGACTAAGAAATATAGGAAAATTCCCACTTTTCTGTATTAAAAAAATTATTTAAAATATAAAATATTAATATATATCTATGGTTAGGTCGTTTGATTTTGGTTGGTGTACAAATGGCCAAAGCGAAATTGATCCAACATGGTCATGTTGGGAAATTGTTGAACCAAAACCAACTAGAAATACTAGAAAATTGGGTTGGTCAGTTTCATCAGTTTGATGAAAAACCCTAGCTGAAATTAATTATTGTTATTTTTGTTTTGTAAAAAAATTATTAAAAGTAATATATAAAATATAAATAATTATTAATTATTTAAAAATTTAAAACAATTGTAAACTCTTACGTGTTTCCATTGTTTATCTTTCACTTAACAAATCTCTTACATCGCACAAGTCCCCGCTAGTAAGTCCTTAAAATAAGGAATGCCAAATGCAGCCTTAGCCTCCAAGCTTTGTTTTTGCGACAAAGACCTTGCCCTTAACCCGCTAGTGAGTAGACCATCTATACGGACTAGGATTAGTTTTTCTTTTCTTTTTTTTTTCTTTTTCCTTTCGCCAATCCAAATTCATGACAAAAAGGACAATAGATGGAGATTGTATGCTTAAACAGCTTTCTGGCATTGAATATTTCAGATTTCAGTCAGTTGGAAAAATTACATGGGCTAACGATTAGCACATCAGAATAAAATTGTTGACATGCATACTTTAAAAAAGGAAAATTCAATCTCCCTCATTTGAACAGGAAAGTAGATCCCGTAACTTTAAACCAACAAGCCCATGATTTCAGTATAAAGAAGCTACAGATGATCCATTTGCAGTTGGCACTAACCAGAGTTCAATTCACTTCACTCTTTCGAGCTAATGACCAGCAAACTTAAAATTCCAATTAGTAGATACTGCAAAACAAATGCACTTGTTACTTATAGGCAAGGCACACTTGTGAATTTCCTTTAAAAATGTTTTTTTTTTTTGGTTTACCCAGTATGCAATGCAAGCAAGTGTTCTTATTTTAATGCTAAAAAAATAGTCAACTGCAGGTCAAATATCTGATAGCTAGAACAGTTACGGTTTCACCATATAACAACAGTATATCAGCATACAAGACTCAGACTCGAGGAAGCTGAACTAACCATTGTAACCATTAAGTCACAATGTTGTCTCATACCAGCCAAAGAGAATGCAATAGCACGAGGATAATTATCTTCTCTAACTAAGAAATTTTACCCTAGGTTCATTGACTGCTGTGTCCCAAACTACCTGCATCTAATAAACCATTGTTTCAGGATAGTAAGGTTTTCTACTGGTGGTTGAAAAAACCTGTAATGTGGTGGAGAAAAACTGTTCTCAAAGTGAAAATTGGTGTTTTGAACCATGTAACCAAAGGAGTGTGTTTTGTATAAATTCACCCATGGCATCATGTTTGCATCAGAAAAAAACTCTTTCCTGGTTGAGAACATGAGGTTTTGGAATGTTAAAAAACTAGAGATACTTGTGGTTCTATAATCATGGGTTTGTGGTTCCAGAATCACAAACCAATCTAAATGAATGCCCAAAGAAGGTTTATGGTTATAAATCAGATGAAATATGAACTCAACCACGAGTATAAGCTTGTAATTAAAGAAGAAAACTATAATTAACTCAGAGATGCTTCCTATGTATTATTTATGTCAAGCATTGTTGGATAACAAAAATTAAACTATAAAAATGCTGAAGCAATCTAGAAATGCCCCAATTACCAAACCTTGATTATAGGCTTCTCAATCATAATTATAGTTGCCCAACCCACATAAGGCAGAAACCTGCAACATATTCATATAAGCAATATTAGAAGGCAAGTAATAATAAATGAAATGAAATACAGGACCAAAAATTGAGAAGATGTTAACCCACACTGTTCAATCCACAGTTACTACCTAAATGAGGCTTAGCCCTCAAATCAGACTCAACACTCTAATTACCTGAAAAAAGATAATTGTCTTTTTTCAAGAAAAAAAACTACCAAGCTTTATCCCGTATTTACATCCTCCAATCAGGTAAATTTATCCCATGCCCCATTTAGGATGCCTGGATCAATAGATTGGTTATTACATGTAAACAAATTGTACCTGTTGATGGTAATGAATCTTATTTATCTACTACCAACCATAACAATCTGCTAGCATAAACAATGGCTCTATTTTGAACTTGAAATCCTTACCCAATAATTCTCCCTATGACATCACGTTGTTGAAGCCATAACTGACCATTGGCATATATTCCTCCATACCTGTCATCATATGGATTATTATCCCCTGAAAAGGATAGCATACAGAGATGGCATACATTATATCCAAGAAACACATGAACTGAGAACACATTCAGGGAAAAAAGCAAATAGATAAGAAAAGGCAAGAGATCATTGCATGGAGTAACTGAACTGAATCTGAAAGTGAAAAATCTACAGGTCAGGAAGCTATAATTAAATGGACCTATTATGCCGGGCAGCTGAAGGGAACAATAAATACCTCGTGTTTTTACCACTATCTACCATTTAAGCAGCATAATATACCAGAAGGGGAGCAATCAAGACATAAACCAAAAAAGCAGCAGCAATGAATGCCCTTCCATCTAAATTCTCCCATTAAGCAGGAGAATGTAGGAGTTGAAGTTGTTATGAATGCAATGAAGGCCTTTGGCTCATTTATCTAAAACCTCTAATCTTTTCTAATAAAAGAGAGTGCTAACATGTTACACCTGTGACATCTTTTTTTTTTTTTTGATCAGCTTGTTACACCTGTGACATCATGATCCATGATCATGAGAGTTCGGCAAAAGTTTTAGTGCCAGCTGTGAACTTGACACAATCCTCCTCCTTCATCCTGACTTAGGACTGGCAGTGTAAGATACACTGGTGAAGTTGTCTTACACCTTTGACACTTGGGAAAATAAATAAAAATATAACGATCCACTTATGAAAAACAGCACTCAATATTAATATGACATTGCAATTACTGTAAAGCCCAAAGGTTACACACATACTACATGAAGGGAAATCCGTGGCTGACTCTCTTGCAAATTTTGCAAGTGACCACCCAGGCAGGTATTCATTTACTTCACTTTCAAAGCCGCTGACCTGCTCTATATCAAGCTTCCTTGAGGATGCATTTTTCTTCCTCATTTCCAGTAATGGCTAGTTATTTTTCTCACTATTTCAGAATGCATAGAACATTTGTATATTCTGCCAGTCATCCTCTTGTTTAGCTTCTTAAGAGGGGTAAGGTATTTATGCCACTCCTCCACTGGAGTAAATTTAGAGACTTGAAAAAAAAAGGTAAATACTTTTATCCCATTCCAGTTCCAATAGAAAATCCTTAAAACAAGTAAGTGCTATATGGTAATATCGATAATTGATTGAAATGATAAAAGCAGAAGTATTAGAGCGATTACAAGTTTAGGATGTCTGCATCACAGTAGAAATGGAATTGAAAGACCAATTTGGCAAGTTTCTGGATTCTGACTTCACTTCACAATCCAATTCTGTAATGGAACAGAATTTCAAAACTAGTGGATTTCCCCATTTTGTGTTCTAGTAGACTTCCTTTGAATTTCAACAAATTGGCCAACATGAACCTAATTTCTCTTTTCACTCCCATAAGTCCGTTATTTGAATTTCACCAAATTGATTCCTACTAAGCTGTCAGAAGTGGTTCCATTTCAAAGATACTCCCAATTGGTACCTCTTTTTGGATGGAACTGTTGATTACCTATATCAAAGCACTTCAGTTCACGGTGTATAGCATGTTAATAAGGGAAGAAACCATGATGTATCTATTGCTTATATTTAATTTAAAAAAGGAACACACACCCTCCTTTTTATTAAACATTTTTGTCAAATACAATGGTGGACTTTTAATATATTATTTTATTTTAAATACTATACTTCCTACTCCGAGAACTCCTCTGCTTCACTGGTGTTGGAATACATCTTGAAATGGCTGCTGCATAACATCAGCAAGACATGTTTTCCCTATTTTAATCCATATCTTCTAACCCTACACAGCATCCAATTTTTTTCACTACTCATTTTCTTTATTTTATCATTTTAACTCTATTTCTCTCCTTTCATCTATGTTCCATCAAACAAAATCTCTTTCCCCTAATCATTTCACTCAATAGCATCCAAGTTGGCTTTTTCTCTATCCATTTTCTTTTCTTCTTCTCTTTCCAAGTTCAAACTTTTATCACTGCTTTTGGTTATATTCATCATCAACATGAATTCAATTGTTATCTGATTATATTTGATGGGTTCGCTCTCACACTCAAATAGCTTGTCCAAATTTTAAAAGAAAACAAAGGAGAAAAAAGGGAAAATCATGCAGGCGGCATAAAACTCATCATATTCTCATAACTATTATTTATGGATTTTACCCCCATCAAATGTATGACATATATAAATGTGGTATCTGTCATCATGACAATAACAATTTCCTTTCCTCTGCTGACAGGACATTTAGAATCTGAAGTGAAAGTAGTAGCTCATATTAACTAAAGCAAGTTTCTTTCCTTTCACAAACATATCTGATTATCATAGTCTGCTAAAAGAAAGGCATAGAAACAGAAAGGGTCTATTTAGTTATTTATTTATTTGTTCCATAAGTACATTACCTTTACATTCAATGTGCATAGCATGATTAATAGCGTGAAAATATGCCCTTAAGGAAAAGAAGAAAAATGGCCCATAGTAGTTTGTTTCAAGAACTGATTATATGCACGAATAAGTGCACCTTAAAGGAACATAAAGTGGTAATGGCAGAAAAATAAGTACCTTTTGTGAGAAAGTTGATTTCACCAGTATCCCTTTGTTCATGGACCTACAACAAGAAAATTTTAACGGGATAATACAAAGACCAGCAGACAGAATACATTGATAGTGATAATCAAAATAAAATACATAAAATTGATGATCAGATAATGTATTTTCTTCCCTCCTTAAAGGAAATGTGCCCTTTTTATTTAAGGCTTGCTTAATGACTCGGGTGTTTCGTAAGAGGAATCAATTTTCCAATTCCACTTTTTCATCTCGCTGCATCAGCCAGTTCAGCAAACCACTCTGAGAAATCACAACTGGTAAACCAATTCTTCAAAAATCAATAAAGTGGTCACTCTTTATTTTTGTTTAGGGGAAATTCTCAAAACTGAGGTAGATAGCATCCTGGAATATTTCTGACATGAAAATGACAAACCTGTGCCAATAATATGCAAACACCTACAGATTCTTTGGAGAAAATGGCATTACCCAAACATGAGATTTTGGAGAAATTGGTGATTTCCCAAATGCCTCAAAATAGGTGGTCACTGAGGAATCAATTCCTTTTACCAAACACTCAGTAACCGAGTCAAGTGCATACCAAGGTTTGCTAATTGTCAACATATAGCAGATAGTCTTGCGTTAGCAGTTGGTAGGAGAAATCTTTTCAACAGGTAATAGAGGCAGGGTTTCTTTTCATCAGTATAGAAGTGGTCAGTGTTGAGGACTGTTTTATATTGTCCCTTTTCCATTATCATTGATGGGTAGAGGTTACCTTTACTTTTTACCATATTAATAAAGCCTCTTGAGTACAAATAGTCAAAAGCACAAAATCATTATTGTGAGTTCCTGAATTGAAATGACTGAGTCAACCAAATTAAAAACAGGTCACTGAAGAGGGGAAGGGAACTTTTCCAAATTCAGCCCATAATTCAATTTAGGGCATGTTGAAGAGAATCTAGTTATTGGTTGTAAATATTTATATTTTTTATGACTTACTTTTTGTACTTAAATAATATCAGAAAAGTCTTTTAGATCCATAAAACCAGTTTTAGTTATTAGCTGGTTCCCCATCCCCTGAAGTGTTTTCTGTTAAAGCAGTGTTGCTTGGTCTAACTTCACATAAAATATTGAGCCCTTTTATCAAGGGAGTTGCTGTTTTCATATTAAGGAAGATGACATTCCTTATGAAAGAAATCAGAATAAAAAAAATCTTTGCCAACAAAACAAAGGTTGATCTTTCCAATAAGTCACATTATTTGATTAATTGGGCACATGTAAATCAAAGAGTACTTTAACTAAATGCATCAAAGCCACAGGGATGAGAATTATATGGAAGAGCGTAAGCATTACCATAACTACACGATGAACAATTGGAATATCCCGTCCCTGAAATGAATTGAGAACAAATAAACCTATTAAGTTGATAAAGAAACATCAGCTTGAAAAGAAAAAGTGGCATGATAGGCAAAAATGGAAGACCCAAAAGCAGGTCTATGCCTTAAGCTATAAGGAATAAAGGAAAGGAAAAATAAAATAATACTCTTTTCCAATCATGAACTTTTATACATTAATTATAAGCCATATCAAACAAAATGTAGAATAGAACGTAAACAAAGCCTCCCAGAAAGTGGCATTTTGAATAATACTTTCAACCACAAACTTACTGAAATAAGTGAAATTTGGTATTGCTATTAATCAAAAAATTCCCATGCTCTGGAAATCAAACTTGGTTCAGCCATGGAGCTTCTGTGACAAGGATTTTGAAATCAATATATTTATCCCTCTTTTAACTCTCATGAAGAAATATGGGCAACACTAAAATGTTGTTGACTTCAAGGATGCCATGCATGGTGTGGACAGCTTGATAAAGGCAAGCAGATACAGGAAATGTTCTTGCTTTCTGCCAATGAATGAACTATATTTATGTCATTAAGCCTACTGATTTTGTTGAACAACTCTTCTTAGAATATGTAGGACATTCAATGGATGCAAAGAATATAAAACTGGATTTAAATAATAACCCTTTAAATAAACACAAATAATAAAATAAATGCACATATCTACTGATATTTACCCTCCCATTGATGTGTTTAATAAATTATTGTGGATGTCAGCCTTGCACCTTAGCTCACTAAATGAAATCAAGGCTCAATTTGTTTGCAGTGCAATTTCATTTGCACTAATACAAATGCATGGGAGTGCAAAGGAGAAGAGTGCAGATTCTTGCCCTCCCATTAATGCTTTAGCTGGTGTGGTGGGACTTTTTTTTTATAGTGAATGCTCAATTTATGGTAGTTTTTCGCAAGAGAGTCAGACTTTTCAGTCATACTTCTTGTTAGATGTTTGGGCTGTAAAATCATGCTTCAGAACACCATTGTACATCCTCCCATGTACACCCATTCCTCCCTATCCTGATGCAAAAGAAGTTTCTTACCTTCTAAAAAATGTAAAACAACTCATTGTGGCATTGTCATGAATTTATAGATTATCATCAGCTAAGTCTTTTCCCAACTATATGGGGTCGGCTAAGGCCTAAGGATCCATAACCATGAGAGTTTGGCAAAAGTTAAACTGTCAGCTTCCAACCTGATGCAACCCTCCTCCTTTATCTGGGCTTGGGAACCACAGTGTAAGACAAGCTCATACTGACAGTTTTCATGACTTTATACATGATGGAATAAAATATTTTATTATGTACTGCCAATTGATATGAAAACTGTGGACTAAATAACAGGGATATCTCCATGATAAATAGCAACATCAACACTGAACTTTTGTTCAAAAGATTATAGATTCACTATAGTTCAGCAGATTACGATTTGATAGTAACTAAGAAAAAAGTAGCAAACAATGATACCAGGGGAAAGATGCATGAGTTAAACAGAAAGAGTAAAGTATAGCCATCAAAGCAATGCATTGAAAGATCACACTCAACAGCACAAAACAAGGTTTTCAACCCCCCTTATTCTTCCTGAAATTCTTTGTTTCTCGTGCGAAGCTAGTGAATAGACTCCTTGTATTGTTTTGAGGGTCAGGTTACATGCCCCCCCGGGCCATTTCTTGATAATTCAATAAAGTTTTTTTAAACACAAAACAAAGTGAGTGGAAGAAAAAGGAAGAACTTACATCAACGTTAAACACAACAATATCCCCAGAACGAATAGGCGATTTATTCAGATGTAGGAACAATATGTCACCCTGGGAAGGGAGAGGGAGAGAGACAGAGAGAGCATAAGCAGAAGTACAATCATAAACAACCCAACAAGTAAAAAAAATACTACATTAAAGAAAGTCAAAACCAAATCACTTGTGGAGTAAGATAAGCACATGAAAAGTAAATAAACTAACAAGTTTGTTACAAATATGCATGCCATATACAATGACATGAAAATGAAAATGTGCATAATATACGGGTTTTCACTGAATGTTGTTAAAGTGAAAACAGAACCTTAACGTTAATACATTAAATGAAAGTAATAGCTTGCAAAAGGTCAAAAAAAAAAATCTACATTAGCTTGTAAAACATAATTCACATTATAAAAATTGTAAAAGGTTCTTTCTACTTGTTTACTTTTATTGTTACCTCAAAGTTAGTTAATATGCCACTTAGGGAAAATAAAAAAATAAAACGCGGGGGGATTCCCCGTATTGTTATTACACGATAGCAACTCACCCTCTTAAAGCCCGGTTCCATGCTTCCAGTAAGCACAACTACGACCGGTGAATCACTTCCACTTAACAATGTCCATAACTTCCACATTATTAGCACAGATGACACCAGCACTCCTAAAAGACCAATGGAGTGTTAAAGCAACCTCAAGGCACGTAATCCGAAAATCAAAATCCTATAAGTCCACTCAATAGCACATGAATCTCCATGTCTCAACGACATGGAACAAATTCGAGCAGAAAACGAACTTCACTAGGCTGAGATTGGAATCCATCAAATTGATATGGACTATGGAAGACTGGAAGGAAGAAGAACTGAGAGAAGTCTCTTACCAAGGCTAGTAGCTTGTCTTGCGAGTTCGATTGCTTTCCCCGAAAATCCCATCTTCTTCCTCCTCCTCCTCTCTCTCTCTCTCTCTCTTCTTCTTCAAGACTCAAGAGAAGTACCAACGGTTAGAAGTTCAAAGGATGGAAGAAACGAGGAGCTTTCCGACCAAGACTTTATATAGTCTTCGGGATGTAGCCAAAAGTTGGTTGACCATAGTAAAGCATAACGGGGTTTAGAGGAATCCGAATATGCTCCTCACGCAGCACTCTTCACACCAACCTCACATACTTTCGTGTTATTATTTATGAGACCGGATCTGCTCTTCATGCAGTGCGCCTCACACCGACCTCATAGACACATCTCACCATGCATTGGAAACATTTCTTGTACTTGTACATTATTATTTATGAGAGATGTTTCTAATACATGGTGAGATGTGAATGTGAGGCCAGTGTGAGGCGCCCTGTGTCAGGAGCAAATCCGGTCTGATTATTTATAGATGTTATGTTACCAATGCAGGGATGTTCTGTGAGGTCAGTGTGAGGTGCGCTCTGTGAGAGCAGATCCCAATTCAGTTTGGAGGGGTGAACCTCGCCTGATTGCTTCATTGACGTATCATTTTGTAATTCACCCAGAACTATGTAGGTTGAATGCTCCCAATTGGAATATGTTACTCACATAGTGCTTTCACACCGACCTCACAGTCACATCCCTTCCCATATTCAAAATACTCTTATAAATAATGACATACCCACCGGACATAACAGCTACGCATAGGGAATGTCTCCCTTTTCATTCATAGAGAAACATTCCCAATACACGGCAGTGGTGTTCCCTGAGTTTACATGTGGGAATAAGTGATTCATGATCTCCTACCCACAAGAACTCTATCCACACCTACCCACAAAACACTAGCTCGTGCATTGAAAACATCTCCCCATTCATGCTAGCATGTAAGAGCATGAGATGCGATCTCATGTGGGTAGAGTAGTCATGGATAGGAAATTCGGACTTGAAACAAATAGTGGGTAACAGATCCAGAGACCCAGAGATATAAGATATAAGTATGGAGAGATATTCCTGATGTACAGCTTGAAACATGCTGTGAGGAGCAGATCCGATAAAAATTAGGATATCAATACTGCAAAGAGTATAAGGAAGCATATATTTCTTTTAGCAGAGACTTGGAATCCAATCCCGCATGCAGCTGAGTTGAGTTGAGGGGTTATGGGTTGGGGGATGGGCTACCCGTTGTGTAGCCCTTCAAAAGATAGTATAGGAGAAATGTTTTAATTAATAGGTTACGTGAACGACGTACACTTGAAAAAATTTGAGAAGTATTAGGCAGGCCAAAAAAAAAAAGAAAAAAGAAAAGTGTTAGGCAGGCTATTTGTTTTGGGATAGCTTGACACCCATGTCATCTCAACATGTCCATGTAGTCTTTAAAGTATAATGATGAAAGTCTGAAAGATACCATTAATTCCAATTAATGTCGCCCTCCCCTAATTAACTCCAATGTACTCATCGAACTAATTTATCCAGTTAATTCCATTAATAGAATTTGTCTCTTTATGTGTTTATAGCTTAGACTTGCTATCCATGTGTGTTTTCTTTTTGGGATTTATTTTAGTTTTCCAAACGTATTCATATTTTAGTTTTCGAAACATATTCATGTGCTTCTTTATAGGCTCAGTGGAAGGAGTACAAATACAAATGTATAATGTAAAACACTAAAACCTTGTATGTATTTGTATGGTGTACTCTTTACGAACTGAAACTGAGCAATAATTTTTTCACAAACTCTTTATCAAAAAAATATTTTTTTTTCACAAACATTCTTTCCAAATATCTCTTAAAATTGCATTTCCAATACTCTTTAAGATACTAGTACTTTCTATTTTGTGTCCAATCACCAGATTCACCAGCAACAACAGTATATCATTCCCTTTCCGATTTCATAGTTTGGTTTGTTCCAACATTCAATTTGAAAATAAATTGTTTTTTAAAAATCTAACGTCAAACGGTATTGGCAATTTCGTATACTTCAAAGTAAACCCTGCGGCACAATAAAAAAACGAAGTTTTTTAAACAAAAAAAAAAAAATCATTTGATAGCACTCCCTAATAATGCAAATAAAAAGATCCCCTGGCCTGAATCAGATGGCAAAGTCATCATAGAAAATTCAGTTTCCATCTAGATCTCTGAATTTTGTCGGTCAATATTGTGCCTGCTTTTTCCTACATGTATCCATCTGACAAAATAAGATGAATTGACCGTCAGTCTAATCAAAAACAATAGCCACCCCCCCAACCATTCTTCAATTATCAATCACCAATTAAATAAGTAATGGATTAAAACTGCAAATATAACCTACAATTTTGAGAGCTGCATCAAAGTTTTCTTCTTAATCTGCTACAAAATGGAGATAAAAGTCCAAAACTATACAAGATTGAAAACAAAGCAAATAAAATCCCTAACTAATCATGTTTTTCTCAATGATTGGTGGAGGATGTTTTCTTTTTTCTCATGTTTTTGGGCTTCACGGCATCTCTCAAAGTCTTCTCTCCACTCCCTTGTCCCATCGCGGCTGGTTCAATTGGCATAGGAGTAGAAGAAATAACATCCAAAGATGCATCCTCGGGCTTGATTTCAGTGGACTTTTCACAACTTGCCCCTCCATGCTCCTTATTCCTTGTTATGTTTCCTGCATGTCACATAAAGATTATAAGATTTGGGACAATCTAACTCACACCAAAAATACATAAACCAACAAACAAACAACAAAAGCACTCAAAGTGCCAAGATTGATTCTGCTTTGAAACCAGCCTCCAAGGAGACGTTATTTGGAAGGGCTATTTTTTAAGGATGGTTGGCCATTTGTGCTTCTTTCCTACAGGAACCAAAAGTCCTGTTTCAACAACATTGTTTGATAATGTGGTTAACCAGGACATTCATCCAGAAAAGGGAGAGGTCTCGTTAGGGCATACTGGACCAGTCTTGTTCAACTCAACCCCACTCCCAAAAAAAAATAAGAAAAATAAGAAAATAAACCATTTTTATTTTCCTACATAATGTTAATTACTCAAAAATGTAATATTCCGGTCATCTAAATCTCCTCTAAAGAAAAAATCTATGATGTTGGAAAGACATGATATCAAAAAGGTTTTGACCAATCAAAACCCCGTCAATTTTGATGAAAACCCACCTGATTGGTTACAAGATTTTCCGATATCATGTCTTTTCGGCATCATAGTCAAACCCCTCCTCTAAACATATCAACAATCCCAAAATTACCATGTTGTTCCAACTTTCAACAGGTACAAGTATAACAAATCAATCTGTAGACCAAATGCTTTAACATAAATCGATAGACTTGTGGAGCTGAATACCAGATGAAGAAAGAGAAATTTTAAGGGAAATTGGATCGACGCCCTGTGAATGTGGATCCCTGAAGTAAAAAGAAAAGAATACAAGTTTTCAATCTCTCAGAAAGGTGGCAATTTGATACCAGATACATACTACATGAAAAATGAGAAAAAGAAAAAGAGGAATCTCATAAACTTCACAAGCTCTTTGAAGTATTAAGGACCGTGCTAGTGGATGAACAACAACACTTAACTACTAATAATAACAATGATGATACCCTTCTTTTCTTGTTGCCCCAAAACTTACTCTTAGGGTGGCCACTGTCAATTTTATTAATATTTAAATAAAACCCATGAGGGGGGATGTAGGAACCCCCAAACCCATTATTTTGTACTATTTTTCAATCACTAGATTTTTAATTAGCTCCAATCCTTCCATCAGATTAGGAAATCCAAACAGTCAAGACAAATCACTTGAGAACAGAAGCCAACAATTCCAACTCTTCAACAAACTACGAAGGCTTTTTTTATCAGTAAAATCAATGAAAACTTTATTAATATAGAGAAAATTTACAAAAGAGAGCAGCCTCGGCTGCCTTTTGAAAAATAGAGAGCACCAAAGAGACAACCCCAGAAAAAACCCTATTAGGTTTACAACCAAGCCCAGAAAATCTGATCTCTTCTAACCCCTTGTTTTGCTAATTGATCTGCAAGACTATTTGTCGATCTTGGAACCCATTCTGAATTTTTTTTTTTTAATTTCATTTCTGAACCACCAAGGGATCTTTTTAGAGTCCCCTTCAATTATTAATTTCTGAATTCCTAACTCCCTTGCCTTTCGTAAACCATACAGAACTGCCTCCAGCGCAGCTCTTATGGAGATCCCTTCCCCAATTGGTCCCGAGAACAGTCCCAAGAATTCTCCCTTATTATTTCTTAGCACCCCTCCTATTCTAGAAGGGCCTGGATTACCAATACTGCTCCTGTCAACATTCAACTTGAGGAATTCAGGTGTTGGAGGATCACACTGCTTCACCACTTTCTTCTTGGATAAGAACCACCCTGCAATCAACCTCCAGTTTCTGAGTAGATCATCAAAGGAGCAAGTACCACTAACAATTATTCGAGCAGATGTCCAATCTAAAAGTGAACTTTGATAAGAGCTGTTTGGTGGGAGTGAATTTGGAGGAGAGAGAGGTTAGTGAATTTGCAGGGTTATTAGGGTGTGCAATTTCGGATTGGCCATCGACTTATTTGAGTCTCCCCTTAGGAGATAATCCCATGAAGGACAGCTTCTGGAACCCGGTTCTGGAAAGATTTTAGAAAAGGCTTGCCTCATGGAGGAAAAATTATCTCTCTCTAGGGGGGGAATCACTTTGATTAGGTCTACCCTAGCTAACCTTCCTGTTTACTTTCTTGTCGGTGTTTTAAGATTCTGTTAGGTCCCAGAAACTTTACACACAATTCTCAGACTCGCAGCAGAATTCACACAACTCAAATATCAGCAAAGAAACTGGTATTCATTCAGAAGAAAGGAAGAACAGTAACAGTTGGTCGGTTCTTCGAGAGACCGCCGGCTCTCCCAATCACTCACAGTATTCTTCACTCAACAAAAGCTTGCCTTGCCCCACCCCCCAAAAACCCTTCTTATCTTCTGACAGCATAACTGATTCCCCCCCCCCCATAAATGCCCAACACTCATCTTATTCATAACTGACATAGCTATAAATGCCCCAAGACTCTTCTTATTCCCTTCTGACTTCCTCTAAAAATGCCCAGCTGGCAAGCCCCATGTGTTCAATTATTTCCCCCCTTAACCGTTTGCTGCCCTTTCCCTTTTCCTAGCATACGTAAGGTTTAATTGGGGGCCTATCATTACCCGCCACCCAAAGTCTAACCTTGTCCTCAAGGTTAAAATGAGGAAATTGGTCTCGAAGCAAGTCAAAAGGCTACCAAGAGTCTTCAAAATCAGGTAGGCCCTACCAATGAATAAGCACTTCCAAACCAGTAACTCCAGGCATAGTGGATGGACGCACACCACGCACTGATATGTCCCTGCACAGGCCAAGCAGCAACATCGCCCAATGCACAGATGGTGTGTCTGCTTTGTCACCTCTTGAAGCATGTCTATTTCCTCCAGCTTCGCGTTTCCAACCTTCAACCTCTCCATGATCATCCACAACCATCCTGTCCCCTCCCTGCATGGTGTGCAYTGCCCACAACTTTCATGCTTATAGAAGTAAGAGAGCCTAGCAATTGCATCCACAATATCAGTTGACTTGTCCATCACAATTACAACA